GTTCAGCAATGGATTTTATGTGCACAGTCACACAGTCAACATCTGTGCACCGTCCCCAGCCGTCGCTTTCCGGCTCAAACCCCCTTTAAACGGGAGTATTTTGCTACCAGGTCCCCAAGGGGTGTTTTCCTGATTCTCCGGTTCTAGACGCACTTTTCTGACATCTGATCGCTCCTGCAGTGTCAAGCTGCTTCTGGGTGCCTCAACTCCCTCCCCGCTTGAAAGCTGCCTGAGGCTTCCGCTTTTCGCCCACTATTTTTTTAATGCGTTGGCAGTGTGCGCATAGGTGGAGCTCCGCCACCGCGTTTAGAAAACCGACATTTAAACGGTCACTTGTTTTAGCGTTTGGATGAGTTCGGGATCTCACGGAGGCCATTTTCGGGTCAAACATTTAAACTGAAGTCTTTTGTTGGAGGGGTTGGATTGATTCGCCCTGGTGGTTCTGCGCATGTGCCATGATAGTTCCTCCCCCTTCTACGGAGGGGCGCCTATGCGCAAACTGAGGGGGAAAATTTTAAAACCCCGCCAACGCATACTCCTGCACGTTGGTAGTGTAGATGCCGGGGGGCGACGTGACTGCGCTGTGAGGCGGGATAAGGGAGGTAAGTGTGATTGCGATTATCCAGATCAAATATAATCCAGTTAGAACTGGAGCAGTTTAACCCACTCTCAGCACACCGTCTGACCGCACCCTCTGTGTGTGCAGGCGTCTCGAAGGGTGGCTTTAGCTAGCATTCCTCCAGGATTTCCACAGCAGCTGCTTCCCGGCACTCAACTAGGCTCCTCGCCTTGGGGGAGCCAGCTGTGGTACAGGCTACCCCTTTGGATGCAGGGCTGTGTGTGTTTCTCGTTCTCCCCCCCCCATCCTCCCCTCAAGTCACGGCTTTCTTTATTGCTTCCTTCCAGTGCTGGACTGCAGCCCAATCTTATCGTCCTTCCAAGTTATCTTGCTAGAGCATATCATCATGTGCCGGCTTGTCACGGGGCACAAAGCTACGGCGTTGCAAGAGGTAAAGGTTGTTTCTTGAATGGGGGTAGGGCGGGGAGTGGGTGACCTGAGCTGAAATTCTGGTGTGGCCCCAGCTAGGTTTATTTCATTTTGAAGAGCCCCCCTGGATCATTCCGAGGTGGGTCCAGCTATTCCGGCATCCTTCCTCCCACCGTGGACAGCTGGATGCTCCCACAAAGCCCAGAAGCAGGGGCACGGAGGCGTAAGCCTCTGACTGTTGTTGCCTCCAGGCAAATTGCATTTGGAGGTAGACTGCCCCGGAATGTGGAGGCTCCGTTCTGTTGTCCTGGCTGGTAGCTGTGTAACAGATTTCTCCTGTGAATTTTGTCTCAGTCCCTTTTTGAAAGCCCTCGAAGCAGTAGCCATTCTTTGGCAGCGAGTCCCACAAGTTACTCAGGAGTTTATCTGCAGCATTCTTAGCTAGAAATTGAGGCACCTTTTAGCCACTGGCCCATACAATCATTATAACTAATGAATACCATTTAAAGTCACAGCAGAATCCCTTAGAGTGGCTTACAGTAAAAATTGTGAGGCTGCCAGAATGGAAAGGATACGAGGGAGATCCCACCTTTGGTGACATAAGCTCAGAGACCTTTAGTGGAAAGCGAGGTTTCTGATAGAGCGGCTGGGCGGGGAAAGCCTCTGATGAGGTCTGGCAGCAGGGAAGTCTTCCTCCTTGCCTCTGAGTCAGGGCCAATGTTCCCTCTAAGCTGTGGAGTCTTGTGAGCAAAAATTCTCCTTTGTGAGCTACTGGCATGAACGTTGTGAGCAAGAGATTTGGCTGCTGCATCAATAAGTGTGCTCTGGAGCCATCCTTCCTGAGCAAAGACAAAAATGTGTGAGCCGGAGGCTAAAAAAGCTGTGAGCTAGCTCACTGACTCAGCTT